TCTTTTTATTGAAGTCTTTAAGTGCACCCTAGATTCGTCTATTGTGACAATATTTTTCCATTTTTGTCCGGATAAATATTTCTCATGAAGAATTCTGCATCGTGTTTTGCATTCGGCGATATGTTATGGAGAAAGACATTATTTTTTTTCGTCTTTTTATATATATATATATATATATATATATATATAAGATTCAGATTAGCATTAACCACTTTGTATACAGTTGACACTGAGCATGTTAGTGGTTTAGCAGCTGTCCTTTGACTTGACGGATTTTGTTTTAACATAGAAGATCTTACTTTAGCAATATTCGACACATTCCGTTTTATTGTCTTGGAAATTACGGAGTATAAAGATAGTGAAGAATAGGAATTATCAAACAGAATATCTAAAACAGAAAAGTTTTACGTGAAATATTTCTGAAAATACAAGGGAAATCGTCTAAAAATGTGCGAAAAGCCTCTATACATAAAAGCGCTATCCGAAATAGACTTGCATCAATCAATTTAAGAAAAAAAAAAAAAAAAAAGAATTGTTCTATAAATTCATCTACGTTCTATTAGCTTTTGAAATGAAACTTCGGCGTGTTTACCTTTATAAACAAGTGATTAGTCTGCTTCCATTATTAGTAAGCTTCATTTCTGCTTTGATCATTTAGATGCGAAAAATGTAATGTTAAACCGTTGCTTGAATTAATTAGTGTCTTTATGTTACTACCAAGAGAATTGCGTAACAATATACAATTAAGATTGGTAATTATTCTTCAACAATGCCCTCTAATCGTAAGTAAATAGAAAATGATATGAATTAAAATTCTCCAACCTTTAGCTTTTAAATGGTTATCTGTGTTGCGTCTGAAGGAAAAAGGACAGAAATAATGCTTTAAGCGCTTTTTTTGTCCCTTTCTGTTCTAATATTAATCACGAAATTCATTCAAGGTATAAAATTGCTTGTTAATTTCATTTGTTGATATCTGTAGAAACTTTAAATGAGCGATTAATTATTTTTGACAACTATGAAATACGTTACGTTTAAATTACTTCTGCTATTTTTTAAAATAGAATAAAAGAATTAAATTATATTAGGAAGAAGACAGAAATATTATTTGGGAATAAAAGATTCTAGAAAGAATTAACTGTTTTCGAACTGCATTAAACAATGTTTCAAATCATAATTAAAATTCCATTTAACAGATGTTATGGTATTGAATACACTGATTCTCAAAAATTGAATGTTTGAATGGAATAGAACTCCACTTATTCCACAAAACCGGGATTACTGCAGTTCATCTGGAAGAACTGAATCTCATTCCCTTAGAATGTCTGAAAGGATTCAGATTTTAAAATACGTCCAAAGAAGCGTCTCTTTAACATTTTGTGAGTTACCTTTATTTCTCAAATACCATGTTCTTCGCACTTAAACATAAAATTAAGTTCAAGAGCAATATCACAAAATAATTTTAAATTGAGTTTATGTTTAGAATTTCAGATACACATCATCCGATCACGAGCTGGAGATAAAATGTTTTTTTATGTACAACGTTGCCATTGCTCAATTTGAAATCCTTCAGTTTGTTAATCAAAAATTCGATGCAAAATTGCAAACTATGAAATCTCTACATATATTAAGAGAAAGAGTCTGTTTGTCTTTCGTTCCTGCTGCGCGTAAGCTATAGACTCAGGGCTACGAAATTTGGTATGTTAGTGCATCTAGACAAGAGCCAGTGCACCTAGAAGCGATTTTTTCAAAATTCGATTCAGAATTTTTTTCTTATCTTTTTTGATGAAATCGCATCATTTTGAATAGTTTCATTCTTTTAGAAATGTCGTTTTGTCAACAGTTTTTAATTCAATGCTTTGTATACTGGACTGCTTACTGTTGAAAATCAGCACTGGTGCCACTTGGGAAAATGAGGGTGATAATTCTGTGGAGTTTTTAAATTTAATGTTTCTCTTGGATGCTGGACGTTCGTTTAGAAAGGCAACAGGAAATTTGTTAATTTATTTATTAGGATAATTAATATTTATATTAAAGGATATTGTTTATTTTCATTGTAATTTTGTTATATGTAATAATATTTTTTAAAAAATTTTACATATATATATATATGAAGTTGTTCTGCAGAGTAAAATTCTACGTAATTTTTAAATGTAACGTTTTGTGTTCCCTTCAGGCATTTCTCCGGTGCATTTAAACGACGAAGGCTAGCCGCATAGCTGCTAGTCAATAATAAAACAAATTCCTAATTTCAAATTCGGGCTTCCAGATGCTCATATTCGCAGTAGGATTACGTCATTCAAACTTGGATAGCTCTAGGTAGCGTTGTTACATTACAATGCGCGAAACATACATACATTTATACAGATTCTTCATTATTAATTTCTTCAGATATAATACAGGGCTATAATATTTGGTGGCAACAGTTTGAAAAATAAAACAGACACTCAGAGTAAATCCGACACAAAATCGCAAAACGAAAAGAATAGTCCCTTAGAGACAAAGCACCTTTGGACTAAAAAAAAATTTTGAAAACCAGTGCATTTAGCTGAAATAACTACCGGTAAGTGAAGTAATGACGAATGATAATGAAGTAGTGACTGGTTTCCGATGATTTTATCCACTCACTTGCTTCAGCGTCATAAAATGAACAGAGAAACTTCTTGTATCTTATACTGAAACTATGATTAAGTTTTAAAAAAAGTTGAAATTGCTGTAACATATTTCTGTAACATATCCAGGTATCTGAGATCCATGACAAATCATGAAAATAAATTCAGTAAAGTGACCTCTTATTAGAGGTTCGAATGCTGACTAGTGACCGAAGGATAAACCACACTACTTTGGTACTTCGTTCCAAGTATACTTATTTTTCAAATTTCAAGACTTTGTTCTGAGGTCTATGCCTGAAGTTTTCTTATTTTGCTCAATGTGAAGGTGATTTACATCCATAGAACTCTATTCTAAGAGAATTCTCGAATGCATTTCTGTAATAAATAACCTAATCTAGCTTAAATTATAAGAATGAATGTAAAAAAGAAAAGTGCTAATCAAATGACAATAATTATGGTCCAATTATTTTCAATTAGTCTACTACTTTGTCCATAACATATTATTCAAAACTAATTTTGAAACTGATGGTCAAATTCCTTCTACTATTTTTAACAAATTAGAATTCAGCTGCAGTTTTCTTTTATGAAGTTAAAAATGTATGTCGAGAAATAAATTTAACAAATAATTATCTAGATGTAGTTCGCCTTTCCTGTTTCAAGATTAGCAATGATATTCATCTGTCTCGTTTGCTTTCCGTGTACTCAACTTAATCCTATAAAGTATGCGGTCTCCTCGTTCTGTCCAAAAGACCACCCAGCAGATGGTTTCCGTGCAAGAGGTGTAACTTAGATAATGATCAGGAAGACATGACTGTATATTAAGTATGAAGTTTATTTTAGTTCTTGAAACATATCTGAGGTGCTCAGGTGCAGACAGATGCGTAATTTAGCATGCATATGTGTACGAAAAGACTTGGATAAATACAGACGGAAACAGTTGAGCTCATTATAATGGATCTGTGATATCAACATTATCCATATCTCTGTGGATCTAAAAGATTATGCACCTTGGGTAATCGTGAATGCTATAGAAGTAGAACTTAAAAGTAAGTATTATGTAAAGTATTTGTACACTCCACTTTTCAAAACTGAGCATAAGAGGCATTTTTTATACATGTAGGAGAATATATTTGTATTGATAACGTCATTTTAAATTCATGATTACTTAGTAAACACACGTATGATGGTTTTTTTTTTTCATAATTCAACAACTACATCATATACATTCATCTATTTTAATTCAGTAGATTATCATTACACATTGGTAACATATCGCCATTTGTGAACTGACAGATTATTTGAGTTTTAAGGAATATTTCATCACATTTCATTTGGTAAAAATGTTACTGACAATAATGGAAACACAACTGCATATTCAATATCAAGTCTGCCATTCTTTGTTTATAGAACGAGTCATTAGAAAAAGAATAATTAGTCTTAATTATTCTTTTTCTAAAAAAACAGGTTAAATAAACATAACCAACATTTAATTTAGTTTAATTTTTATTAAGTTAATGAATTTATTTTTAGATAATTATATGATAATTTCTTTGTTTAACTTTATGACAGTAGTAATCAGTCCTAAAATTAGACGCATAATCTTGTTTCTAGGTAAAAGTTTTAATTTTATTATTTCCTTTTATTTAAAAATTAAAAATGCATTTTGTATTTAGACAAATAAAAAGTAATTTCATTGCTAAATATTGTGGAAAAATACTCTATTCTTTTAAAATCCATCTTCTTTTATTATATATTATTTCTGTTAAAGTAAATATATATTTAACCTACAGAAGAAAGGTAACCTAATTATCTGGACTATTATCAGTGTTTGCGAAACTAAGTAGTCCGGACAAATGGGCAATCTACTATCTTGAGAATTTGAGTAATGTAAATGGAAGAATTATTAAAAAAATTATGTATATTTAGTTACTTTATTAAGTAATTTATTTATCATTTGACAGGAAAAATATTTTAAATGATATTGAAATTTTTGTGTAACACATGTATGTGACGCACAAACATTAATGCTATTACATTATTTGTAATTATCGTATAAATTAAAAAATTCTTATTGGTTTTTACTAGAATAAAGTAGATAGAGTTTCGAGTTTTTCCTCCTTCTTAGAGGCATCCTTCTTACTAATGAAGAGTAGTAGCTATAGCATTCTGCTTTTATAGAAATGTGATGGTAGGCATATAGTATAGTATAAAACTATTGCAGATATCTGAGCACTACTGCTTAAGAGAATTTAGAAAGACTACTTAGTGCTTAAATCTATAGCTGCAAGTTCTGTATGCTAGCTGTTTGTTTAAAATTAAACTTTCATTCATGCACACATGTACAATGTACTTATTTTGCAATACATAAATTACAATTACGTTTCATTTCAGGTGTCGTCCATAAACAGAGTTCTTAGGAACCTGGCAGCTCAAAAAGAGCAAGCTCAAGTCCAGGCTCAAGATGCCGTTTACGACAAACTTCGCATGCTCAACGGGCAAGGTTGGCCTAGGCCGAATCCCTGGTATCCGGCAGGAACGACGTTTGGTGGTATCGCTCCGAGTTACGTCGCGCCTGTCACTACGCCTACAGTACCTTTAGAGAATGGTTTACCTCCTAAAAAAGGTAAAGTAGATTACGCCTTATTTAAAAATTCATGTTATGAAAGTTTCCGAGATAAAGTGAAGATTTAGATTCCAAATACAATATTTGTTGTCTTAGAATGTGTAGATAATTGCTGAACATAAAGCTGGTCATAAATATTCTTTAAACTAACCGCCTGTGTGACCAGCCGGCTAAAATAGTTACTACAAAAGAGAAAAATGTATAATGATTTTAATGTAATTTCACGAGTCCAACTAGTAATTAAAAATAGCTGAAATTAATCTGTGCTTATTCATTTTAGTTCACTTAGTTTCTTAATTAATTTTAAAGAAAAATTAAATATTTTAAGCTCCGTTGAACGACAACACGCAATTTTATTTTATAAATAATATATTTTATTCGGGCAGTGACAATATATTTCTTTTGAATCGCTAAATTTACTGATTCATTTCGAAAGACAAATATATTGCATTTTAATTCGAGTGGCACTTCTTTTCTATCGTCGAGTTTTCTGATTAAATTTGAGACATAAATATACAATTTGTATAGTAACAATACAAAGCTTTTAAAACGTTTATTCACAGTTTATTAAATTTGTACAAAAAAACGAAATAAATAAAAAAAAAAAATTTCGAAATTCAAAATTCGGGCTTCGAGGTGCTAAGGGAGAAGAACTAAGCATATTCAAAATTTGGTGGCTATGGGTGACGCCGTTTTTTTCATGATCTGTGGACGTGCATATACACACATATATATTCTTCATTATTTGATAACACAGGTAATTGAATATTCGCAAACTATTACACGGCCAAGTATATAAATATGATAAACATTACTAATTCTTCCAGGTATGGACTATTTTACCTGGAATTACAATATTCAGTCGTAGAGTTCTATTTATTGTGATCAAACAGGGTAGCTGCATAAGAATTTTATTAATTTCTTGTGAAATATACATAAAGCCAGGTTTCCTTAAAACGCTCTTAATGAAGTCACCCCATCCTACCCACTATAAGCCCTCATATGTTTTGCTGCGAATAATTAACAACTAACCATCTGTGGTTTTATCAGACTTTTGTTTGTAGTGAACCATCTGCAGTTTCGTCAGATTTTTGTTTGTAGTGGGACAAGAAAATGGCATTTCTAATTATTTACTATTTGTATAAATATTAGCTAGTTTTCTTTAAAAAAAGATCTCTTTGAAGTCATCTGTGTAAAGGCAGATAGCTTTCGGTCAATGATCAGTTTTGTACTTTTCTGAATCCTCTATCAAACAAGAAACCTTGAATTCATAGTATAAAACAAATGAATATTTCCCTTCCTATAATATTCCGATTTCTTCAGTAATGCTATGCAATTTGCATTACAGTGCGCTGCAATGCATTCAATTCAATGCATTTCATAGATAATTGACCAATCAAAAGCAAATGATTGGTTCAGTTCCTACTTCAAGAAAATGCTGGAAAACAAATGAAAATAAACATTTTGAGTTTTAAAAAAAATCTTGAGAAAATAATTTAAAAAAAAATTATTAAAGAATTGCAAAATGCAGCTCAGAGTCTCAATATATATGTGAAACTAGTCTTACAAAATCTTTTACAAATATAATAAAAATCTTGTAAAAAATTTAATGAAGTATTTGTTCTTCTTCAAAATCATAGCTATCATAAAGGAAATAGTTTACCAAGTCAGCCATCACTGAGTAGTATGTAATCCTCAGTAATGTGTGAGTTTATTGTTATTATTATTTTGACATAACTTACACTTTATTATCATAAATTCATATATCAAATTAAGTAAACTAAAAGAAATAAAAGTGGTATTTTAAAGACTGGACAATGATTATATAAACGTAGATATAAAAAATAATCAAATTTTGCTTATTGTTAAATGTTACAATAAAATGCTTTGATATTAAATATTAAACTGAACAAATTAAAAAATAACAGCAAATTATAAAATAATATTCATTTGACTGTGATTTTTGGCTTAACTTATTGAGCACTTGATCAACATTTATGTCTATATTATAACACTGTATATACATAAGTGCTAGATGATAAATCTATTTCCCTCTGTTGCATTACTCAAATACGTCTTCGGTCTACCTCTCTGGAGTCGTTGTTGTCATTGGCTGGAGTATCTTTTGGTATTACTGCATCTATTCTATTTTTAGAATAGTTGCCGTAATAATAACAGATCCTCACGTATGTTGGGAAATATCTTTTTCCCATCTATTTAACATTTCAATAACCGGCGATTTGGTGTCCAGAAATTCACTCATTTGTCTTTCCATAGTAAATATTCAGCATGTACTTCTTCAGTGGTGATGAAAGCACCATTTTCAAGAAGGTTCTTCTCATAAAATTTGACCAATCTATCCAAATCATTGAACCAGATACCAAACAGAAAAAGGTAGATAGGATATTTTTACGAACTAATAATCTGTAATCATGGCATTTAAAAATGGTAAAAGGATAGAAATATGATAATTCGATTCAGATAAATTACAGGTAGGTTTAAGACAGTACGATCTGGGTTCGTTAGATCATTCGACTATTCGTTTATTGGTCCTTGGAATAATGATTGGCATCTCATGTTTCTCGCACATTACTCTTGCTTTAGAAAAAAGTGCGTCAAATGATCATTTGCATCTTTTGCTGATACCCCAAAATACCTCCTGATGCATTTGTGCATGTTTTAACGAGATAGCTAAATCCAAACCTTCCTTTTGTAGGTACACTTTGCACACACATACACAAAATTCTTCATTATTTAATTTAACTATAATAGAGGGCGATAATATTTGATGACAACAATTTGAAAAGTGATTCGACGCAAAATGCCGTTTCGAGACTAATAGCTCTTCTGGTCTAACACCTCTTTGGGCTAAAGAGGTAAAAAGATCATCGATAGAAAGGTAATTGTAATGTATACATTTAGTGCTTCTTTTGCAAAAGATCTGTCTCCTTGATTATCTTTCAATAAGCCTGGGGATATTAATATTCATCATTTAATTTAACAGAATTTTAGGAATACTTAAATATAAAATGTAAATATGTAAAGAATGATAAATAATCTAAATCTAAGTTTATTTGTAATTCCTCTTAATCCAGGCTTCGAAATGGCTGCAAAATGTTGACGTGTTTAAAAATTATTAAAAGATTTTTCTCTTCGTTGCAGAAACAAAAACTTTTTAACTTTCCCTCCCCCCCCAAATATCATGAGATGATTTGTCTAAATCCTTTGTATGCAAAACACAAACTATCTTTTATTTTCTTTGAGTTTTGTCTGTATATTTTTAGTTATATTTTAGTTTTGAGACAAAAGCTAGAATATTTAGATATTTTCTATACCGATAATTTTTTTAAAGTTAAATTACGATGCTTTTGATCATTTTGTACAGTTAAATGTATTCTTTCAGCTGCTTAAAGTTAAATTCTGCACAATTAATTGAGCAATATTTGTAATTTGAACCCACTTGTGTTTTAATGAGCTACTTGACTTTCAGAAGATGTTTTTGCATAAGCTTGCTAAATTTCTGATATTACCTTTCAAAAATATTGCTTATTTTATGCTTCTCCTATTAGAACTTCACATTTCTATTTTCGTTAGTCAATTATTGGCTGCCTAAAACAAGGAATGTCTTCATTGAAGATTTGTTAAGGTAAAACTGGTGCCTATTCACGTTACATATGTAAAAATCCCGGTAACTTCCATACAGTCAGCCCGTTCTGTGAGATTTGAACAAGGATTGAGCTATCAGGTTCAGTGCTTAAGTGCTCGGTTTCTAGACCGCGTTTTTGAGGGGAATGCTGTAATGTTGGGTTACGTTCTGATCCATTTAATCATATTTCTTCATCTTGGCTATCATCGCCAAAGTGCTTTTGTAAACTGATAGTTGCATTTTTTGATTGAAAAAATAGGTAACGAAGTATTAAAAATAAGCATGCCATATTTTAGAGTCATTAGTTTTTTTTCGAAACAGGAGACATGAAAAATGAGTTATGTCCCTGCCGGGACTCGAACTACAGACCTCTCGAATACGCGCCGAGCGTGCTGATCACTACACCGTGAAGCCATGCTAAGAAGTCTGAGCAGTACCTTATAGAACCCTTTTAAAGGGTGATTGGGTCATGTGGTGAAGAATCATCATCACCACCTTGTTTAGTTCGGGAACCCCTGTAGAGTCATTAGGTTATTTTGAAACAGGAGACAGGTACAGGAAGAAGCTAGGCCAGCACCTCCGTAGTACCACAGGTAATTGAGGTATTGCTGAACCTAGCTAACTGTTAAACTTTCCACCCCAATTTTGAGGGGAATACCCCGGGAAGGGGGTCCGAGGATCTCCTGCCCCTCTTTTTAACCATCAACCCCTTGAGAGGACTTTCTGAGATAACTGAATTCTGGTATTAATAGTGTACACAAATCATACTGAGAGAAGACTGTCCTTGAAAAGTTCAACAATTGATCTTCCAAAAGTCTAAATGTATGAATAAATGTCCTTTCTAAGGCGGAAGGTGTAATAAGCAAGTCTTTGGAGATCCCGTCCATCAGCATTGCATAGAAAAATGAAGGAGAAACAGGAGACATGAAAAATGAGCACTACTGTCTTCGGGACTCGAACCACGGACGACTTTCGAATACGAGCCGAGTGTTGTGACCACTACACCACGAAGGCTAAGAAATGCCTTATAATATTGGATTAACTACTGTTCAAAACCAATTACAGTATTTTTCGAATTCCAACTTTTCTATTTTTTTTTTTTTTTTTTTTTTTTTTTTTTTTTTTAAATCTTGAAAAAATATATTATAAAGCTCCTGCCTTCTACCGGACATGACAACATGTGCTACAGCCATCACTTATGCTCGTCCAACGAACAACGGAAATCTGCGAGCAAGATATTATAACTGAGAACAGCTGCTCACTGCTACTTCTGAATATCCTGTTCATGAAATATTTCTTTTTCTTTCAAAACCTGTCTTCTCTTTTTAGTACTGAAGATAAGAATTTTGGCCTT